CCGCTGGAGGTGAGACCCCATGTCCCCTGAGGGTGCAGACGGTGGTGGCAGCAGTGATGGCAACAGCAGTAGGAGCCCTTGGAAGGCAGTAGCTGAGGTAACCAGAAAGGCAGTCAGTGCCCAGGAGAAGGAGCTGGCTGAGAAGCGCTCTAGGAAGTAGTGGGGGGCGCCCAGGGTGCCATTAGAAAGCTAAATTTTAAAAAATAATAAAAGTCAAGATTTTTTTAATAATAAAGAGTCAAATGACTGGGGAGGGAGAACCACCCTACACAAAACTATGTGTATAGATGCTCTGGTGGTTCAGTGGTAAGGAATTGTGCTGTCAACCCAAAGGCATATGGTTTGAATCCATCCACTAGCTCTTCTACAGGAGGAAGATGGGAAGACTCTTTCTGTGTGATTTACTGGCCCTGAAAACCTGCCGGAGGGTCAGCCGTGAAGGAGTCTGTTCTGATTTGACAACACATAACAACAGCAACAACAGTTTTGTTCAAAATATGTATGCACATGTGCGTGCACACACACGTACTATACTCGCTCATTACCATTGAGGAGGAACAGAGTCATAGCTGACCCTCCAGTGCGTGTGCAGAGGAAGTAAATCACACAGTTATTTTGCAGAATTTTCACCCCTCTAATAGTGGTGAAGACGATTTTCAGTTGGCATGTTGGGCCGAACTGTCTACAACTGTTCTTTTGAGTGATGTGATGCAGTGAATTATTTCATAGTCTTGGTGATGCAGTGAATTATTACAAATAGTCTTTGTACCTTCTACCCAATGACTGGGTAAGTCTATGCAAATGTGAGGTGATTGTGGTCCGTCAATGAGATTGGATAGCTTGCTAATAATGTAAGTAAAGTACATGGCACTTTGGGGTGGGGCATGCAGATAAGGTATATGGACATTAATATGCAGATTGTCAGGTTTGCCATTCTACAAAGCTTAAAACAGGCCGTCTCATAGGCAGAAAGGGTGAACCTCTACTATTAATAAAGAAGAGCCAAGTGTGCAGTGCATCAACCGGGAGACTGGCGGGGGACAGTATGGTGAACTTCCAGAACTATCGAGTGAAAAAACTGAGTGTTTTCCAGCACGAAGCTTCATAGTGTAGTGAGTGTCATCAGGCATTTTTCAGGGAGCTAGGTTCACTGACCTAGGGAGCTAAAGCTGAGCACTTTGGTCCTGTGCTTGCTAGTGATTGGTGCATTGCTAACCTCTTAAATAGAATCTCTATTTATAAAACAGCCTTGGAACACTGGCCCAAGCAGGGCAGAGAACAAGACTCTGAGACTGAGGTTCTGAGAGAGGCTTGCCTTTGGGCATGAGTGAAGAAAGTGGCTGCTCTGATTTAAACACTGCATCTTGAGTGTTCTTGCCCTTGAGTTGTAACTTGTTACTTTCCTAAAAATTTCCACAGCTGTGAGCATTGTCTGTGAGTTCTCTGTGGCCTTTGCAATGAATTGTTGAACTCAGCAGAGAACCAGCAAATACAGTGGACAGTTAGTGTCAGACTTGGTAGAAATGTTTGGAGTGTGAATGGTGTGTCTGGCCTTATAGGAGTCCACATTAGGCTGCTGCGACTCATGGCAACTCTTCTCCCCTCACGTGAAGCTAAAGAAGGTGAGCTGATGCAGCCTCCCCTATGTCATTTTTGCAAGAGGATAAACTAGTTGGTACCAATCATTGGCTGAGATGCCAAGGAGAAAACCAGAAGAACTCAGAAGAAGAATAATCAGTTGTTGTTTCATGTTCAGTACTGCTGAGTTGACTACGACCCACAGCGACCCTGTGAACAGCAGACCCTGCCCTGCCCTGTGGCATCTTCATCCTTTCTGCTTCCCTCAAACCCATTGTTACAGTCTCTCTTTCCAAGCAGGTAGTCCTTTTCAAGGACTGACACCTGCTAACAACAAGCTAGCTCAATGTGAGACAAAAGTCTCATCATCCTTGCCTTGAAGGAGCACCCTGGTTACACTTTCTTCAAGACATACTTGGTTGTTCTTTTGGAAGCCTGTGGAATATTCAGGACTCTTCTCCAACACTTAGGGAGCTCTGATGGGCTGTTGATTATTGTTCTGACCCCACAGGGTCAGAACTGATTTCCATCTAACAAGGAACTCTGGTTGCTTAGTGGCAAGGAATTGGGCTGCCAACCCAAAAGCATGTGGTTCAAATCTACCACCTCCTGTGTGATCAGCTGCTTCTGAAAATCCACTGGAGGGTCAGCTGAGTTGGTTCTGACTTGAAGGTACACAGCAACAACAAGGTTCCAATACTATTACTCAAAATGCATTGATTCTTTTTCTGTTATCTTTAGTCATTTTCCCAGCTTCAGGATGCATGGTCTCAGTTGTTGTTAGGTATTGTTGAATCAAGTATGTCCCATAATAAGCCTCTGAACAACAAATCTGAACCCTGTCCTATCCTGTACAATTGTCACAATCTCTGACATAACTGAGCCCATTGTCTTTGTATCAATCTACCTGGTTGAGGGTATTCCTCTCTTTCACTGACCCTCCACCTTTTCAAGCATGATGTCCCTTTCCAAGGAACAGCTTCTCCTAGCAACATGTCCAAACTAAATGAGATGAAGTTTTTGTCTCCAAGGAGCACTCGGGCTGCATATCCTAACCCTTGACTTTGGGTTTGGCCAAAGAGAGTATTAGTGGATGTGGCATGAAAGAGGTTTTAAAAGGAATCAGCCTTCAAGCATTAGTTACTTTCTCAGACTGAGTTTCAGCATGAACATACAGGCCTATAGCCCAACCAATAATAGCTGGGAGCAGAGCTTCCCAGTTTTGCTTATCCTAGATCAGCCGGACCAAAGTCAGTCTTGTGACTAACAAATGTGAGACCAACTCCTTGTTGTTTTAAGCCATTACATTTTGGAGGTGATTTATTATGCAATTTTATTTAGGCTGACTGGACTTAGTCTGCTAAATAAGTCCTTATGGGCACATGCTGACTAGAAAGATAGTTCTGATCACAGCTGCATAATTAATGTGTGTAATAAGAGACGGTATGATGATAACCTGGAACGGAAAGAATATGGTAAGCCTGACTTTCCATCCTTGGTAACCCATGCTCGCTAATTTTTTTTTTTTGGCTGTAACATATTTATTCTTACAGTTTGTTGTGTACTGTGGAGTCAGAACGTCTCAGCTGCTCTTCCAGTGACTAATTTTTAACACAAGACAAGAGTAGTTTCTTCCCTACCTGCTTATAAAGAAATAAAGTCCAAGGTTACTTAGCTCCTCAAATGAAGGATTATTTAACTAACATTTTAGATCCAGGCTCACAGTAATTCAGCTTGTTGTCAATGGCTGATTATTGAGTGAGCCACCACGAACAGCTTCCACATTGTGAAGTCCAGACAATTGCATTGACTCTGGCTTCTCAGTTAATCTAAAAGTTATGCCAAAAGCAAAGCTTTTAGCAAAGCAGAATACTGGACAATGCAGGGGTCATGATAGAGAAGTATAGCAGGAAACTTATCAATTGAAAAGATACTAGGCAGAGATATTAGCTGTACTTTGTTTTCTGTCCAAGAATTTTGCACTCTGAGAGTTCCTTGAAGCAGGGCTGTGTTTGGATTTCAAGATAGATGTGTAGCTCTGAGTCCCTTTCTCCTCTGTGCTTGACTTCTCTCTTGGATACTTTTCTCATGTGAATCAACTGTTAATGCTTATTACATGGCTTAAACACAGACCTATACTGGCATTCTCAGAGAACAGATTCCAGCTCATTAGAACTTTAGAGTTATTTAGTGCTCAGATTCCTTCACAGAACAATTAGAAAATTAAAGTCTAGTCAAATGCTGAACAGAAAGTACACCTAGAAAACAGCAAGACGGGAGCCAGAAGCCAGACCAGCAACATTTCCGTATACACCGTACAATGATACCAAAGGATTTGTTCCATTCTCTTTGAAAGTTAATTTACTTGTGGGAATGATTTGTTAGATTGATGCATCTTTAAAAAAATGAGAAGAAGGGGAGCCCTGAATTTTTGTTAATGATAATAAGATGATTTGGAAAAAGAAAATGATAATGGTTGCTCAACATGAAAAGTGCCACTGAATTATACATGTAAAAATGTTGAATTGGCAATTGCTTCATTTATGTTTTTACCATAATAAAAAAATTATAAAAGTAATAAATTATCCATCTTGAAAGTACATAAAGGTGCAAACAAGAAAATAAAATCACCCATAACCCCATAAGCCAGACATAATCGTTGCATATGTGTTTTTGTATTTCTGAGTTCACAAGCAAATTGGTGTTTGAAATACAGGCCATTTCACTTAAACATTCATGGAAATAATTTTTCTTTGTCATTTTATAGTCTTCAAAATTACCCATTTTAATGACTGAGAAAGAATTCATCATGATCTATTCATGGGTATTTATTTTTCATCCAATTTTTGCTATCATAAATAACATTGTAATGAGATTCTTAGTATAATTTTCTACAAGAGGATTAAAAGTTACTTAAGGAGTTCTCATATTTCATAGTGAGATGAATATATTATATAGTGCTCTTAATATGTAAGTGAGTGTAATGCTTTGATAAGCACTGGAGAGCTCTGGGGACATAGTCTCAACCCAAAAGCTGTGTCTGCACCAGCAGCTCAGTGGGAGAAAGATGGGCAGTCTCTGTCCCTTAAGAGGTACAGCCTGGCACAGTTCGAATCCACCAGATGCTCTGCCGGGGAAGGAGGGACAATCTCCTCCTGTACCAGTCAGATCTGATTTGACGGTACACACACACACACACACGAAAGGGAAGCCCAATGGAAGATTGCTATTGGAACCAATAGCAGCAGTGAGTTGAATTGGTAAAGACTAAGAAATAATTTCCTATCTTTTGACTATAAAGCGAGTTCCATTCCAAGGCAGTCATTTGAAATGTGACCAAAAGCTTGTATTCGACATTTTCCTTGCAATAAAAATTGGGGTTTGTTAGTAATAGTGAAAGATTGAAAACATACATTACAGTTTATTCCTCTTATAAAAAGTGGAAAATGTTGCTTGTGGATTTAAAAGAAGGATACAAATTTGTATGTATAGTGTGAGCGTGAGTACAGAAAGCAATGTACACAGACGTAATGTTGCCAAATATTAGCACTTTATATTTACATGGCAAGATTGAGGTTTTCTTCCTCCTCAAAATTTTTTGTATTACCTGAAATATAATACTTTTATATTGAAAAAAAAATTGTGTTGCTTATCTTATTAAACTCACATATCAGAGATGAAGTCACTTCCAGGGAGGGAAGGCATGGCTGGTGCCTGTGGCTTCTACTTCCTTCCTAGCAGGACGTGTTTTGAGCACCATAAAAGCCATATCCAAATGCTCGTAATACTTTAAGCAAGTTAAGTGCTTATTTTTTCATTCTATTTAACCTAATCTGACTTCTGGTTTGATTTTTCTGGGTATATTTTTCCTTAATTTGATTATCTTTATTTTCAGAGATTTTGATGCATTTTCCCAGAATGAATGGAAATCCCTATCTTGGATTTAACTCCCCAATTTTTCCTCTTTGTTTTTTTCCCAAATATCAGGTAGCGTAATTTTCCCAGTTAGTCATTCTCTATACTTATAAATGTATTCTATTCAGATGTCATTCACATACTATAAAACTTATCCTTTTAAAATGTGCAATTCATGGTTCAAATCTTCCAGATGCTCTGCTGAAGAAGGAAGGACAATCTCCTCCTGTACCAGTCAGATCTGATTTGATGGGACACACATAAAAAAATAATAAAAATAATTACAAAAATGTGCAATTCAGTGGATTAAAGAAATAGTGTTTCATGATTTATATGAAGGTTTATACAGCAAATTAGTTTACCATTCTGCACTTTATGTAGAAATTATGCTGTGACATTGACTGTAATCTCCAGTGTGTGAGCATTCTCCCCTTTTCCACTTTTGATTCCCCATGTTCCTTCACTTAGTTTCCCTGTCCTTTCCTGCCTTCTTAACTTTGTTTTTGGGTAAATGCTGCCCTTTTGGCTTACTATAGTTGATTATCCTGAAGGAGCCAATTTTATTCAGGAAAATTTCTAGGTCTCTTTTTAAGAAAATGTTGAGGTTAGGTGCTATCAAATAAACTACAACTCAAAACAACTCATCGACTAACAAACCTGAGTCTTGTCCTGTCCCATGCCAACCTCACCATCTCTGGCATGCTTCAGCCCGTAATACTTTAAGCAATTAAGTGCTTATTTTTTCATTCTATTTAACCTAATCTGACTTCTGGTTTGATTTTTCTGGGTATATTGTTCCTTAATTTGATTATCTTTATTTTCAGAGATTTTGATGCATTTTCCCAGAATGAATGGAAATCCCTATCTTGGATTTAACTCCCCAATTTTTCGTCTTTGTTTTTTTCCCAAATATCAGGTAGCGTAATTTTCTCAGTTAGTCATTCTCTATACTTATAAATGTATTCTATTCAGATGTCATTCACATACTATAAAACTTATCCTTTTAAAATGTGCTCTTTGAGCGTCTTCCTCTCTTTGGCTGACCCTCACCTTTCCAATCATGCTGTACCTTTGCAAGGACTGGCCCCTCCTAACAACATGCCCCAGGTATGTGAGATGAAGTGTCACTCTCCTTGCCTCCGAGGAGCACTTTGGTTGCATTTTCTTTGAGACCTATCTGTTGTTTTGGCAGTCCACAGGATATTCAGTATTCTTCTCCAACACCATAACACAAAGGCATTGATGCTTCTTCTGTCATCTTCATTCATTGTCCAACTCTTAGGTGCATAGTAAGCACCTGTATCATGTGCTCCTTAATCTTTAAGATGATATTGCTACTCTTTAGCACTTTGGAGATGTTCTCGACACCAAGCAGATTTTCTCAGTGTAAAAACATTTTTTGATTTGTTGACTGCTGATACCAAAAGTGTAGATTATGGCTCCAAGTAAGGTGAAATAATTCAGAACTTCAATCTTTCTTCATTTATCACGATGCTACCTATTGGTCCAGTGGTGAAGATTTTTGTTAAATGGTACTGAGATGTAGTCCATTTTGAAGGTTGTAGTCTTTGATCTTCTACGGTAAGTTTCAAGTCCTCTTCACATTGTGCAAGCAAGATTATACCATCTGTATGATGCAGGATACTGCTGAGTCTTTCTCCAATCCCAATGCCACATTCTTCTTTATAAAGCCCAGGTTCTTAAATTATCAGTTCAGAATATTGATTGGAAAAAGTATGGAAAAAGGATACCATGTCACTCCTTTCTTGATTTTGAACCATACAGTGTTTCCTTGCTCTGTTTAGACAATAGATTCTTGGTCTAGGTCTAAGTTTCACATGAGCAAAATAAAATGTTCTGTGATTCCCATTCTTCTCAATATTAACCACGATTTTTTGTGATCTACATGGTCAAATGCCTTTGCGTAGTAGTTAGGACACAAATAGACACCCTTCTGGTATTCTCTGCTTTCAGTCAAGATCCATCTGATATCAACAATGATATGCCTGGTGTTATTGGCCTTTTTAAAACCCAACTTGTATTTCTGACAGTTCTCTGTTGATGTACTGTTCTAGTCATTTTTGAGTAATCTTCAGTACACATGTGATAGAAGTTATATTGTTAGATAATTTCTACATTGTGTTGGATCACCTTTTTGGGGAGTAGGAATAAACATGAATCTCTTCCAGTTACTTGGCCAGGTAACAGTCCTCCAGATTTCTTGGCACAATCTGGTGAGCACATCCTGGACTATGTCTATTTGTTGAAATACGTCAATTGGAAGTTTATTAGAGACAAGGAAAGGCTCTTGTAGAAGAATTGGAGCAGGCTGCAGCCAGGAATTTTGACTCTACTTTAACTACTGTTGTTGAAGCTATCAAGTCACTTATAACTCATAGCCACCTTAAGAACTTTAGATATGAAGCCGTTACCATCACTGTGTCAACTAATTTCATTGAAGGTCTTTTTTTCCCCCTACTGACCTTATACTTTACTAAGCAGTATGTCCTTTTCCAGGAACCTGTCCTTCCTGATAATATGTCCAAAGTACATGAGGCAATATCTTGCTATCTTTATTTCTACGAAGCATCT